TTTTTTTTTTTTTTTTTTTTTTTTGGAATTTGGATGATGGCTGAATTACTGTTCCAGGTCGCTCATACTCGGCTTCCCTGAAATACCGCCAGGCCTGCAAGTCCGTCATCGTGGCACATAAGCTGCAATACATACAGCATCATCATTATCTCCTTGCGGCCGATGGACCGAACCAAAACTACGTGGAAGTCGAGCGCGACTTTAGCGATTTGGCCGCCAAACTGGAGCCGCTCATGCGGGACACGAGCGTCGCGCACCGCATTGCCAACAATAGCGTCAAGACATTTCGCGAACGATACCTGACCAAAGCTGCCGAGGCGTGTTATTGGCGACATCTCTTGGACGGGTACGAGAGCGTGTGGAACAGCACCATCACGAAGGGGTCCGACCCGCACCAGACTGAACGAGGTCTACGATACGAATCATTTGTGTTGTTGGAGAGTCAGCGAATGTTTGACTTTACCGCTGCCAACTCATATTAACCATAACCTTTGGTTCTTTGGATACCGAAGAGCTTACGGAGCTGGGAAACATAGCAGGAAGGAGTTTTGGCGCACGAAATAGACAACTGGGTGTATTGGAGTCATTTTTGTTTCTCGACGATACCAAATAGATCTTTTCGCAGACCGCAGAGAATGGAGATGTCTGCCGTGGTGGACACGCACGCTAAACATGCAGCTGAGGCATTACTTGGTAGGCTGAATACCGGTCCACGTAGCGGCAGCCCGTTCCCTCATTGACCCTCCTGCACTCCATCGCGAGTCGCGACTTTATCTCACACAGAACCGTGGTTATCCATCAAGTCATCGCTGTCAAAGTGTCAATCTCCATCTTGTCGGATATGATCATCAAAGGATCTCCATATTTTATCAAGCCATACCTCGTACATACCTCTCTAAAGCTGACAGCCCAGCCACCCGACTTTCCCCTTGCTTCTCCTCGCTCCTCCTCGCTCTCTTCGATGGCACTTTCAAATACACCAGTCCGCTATGACAATCCGTCCATTCTGAATGGCTGCTCCAAAAGCGAGGAGCCAGCGCCGCGCCCGTGACGAACCATGATCCGTGCAGCAGACCAATCCATCCAGTAGGAGATTGGAGAAGACGTCGTGGAGTCTCCAAGGGCGCCGAAAGCGGTAGAACCCTCCCACTATCGAAGGATCATCGCGATCCAGATCTGCATTCGCAGCTGAAAAGGCCAATCACCGCCAGAATTGTAATGCAGCTATGCAGGGTGAGCTCAGCTGGAGATGGGTTACACAAATAAGCTAGCAGGTGCAATGGAATCTGCCGTCATAGACCTCTGGGAGAAGTGCAGTGGATTTAAGTCGCAGTTTGCCCTTCCTATATGGTTCACGTTTCCCTTTCACTTGTCTTTGGGAGACGTTTCTCAGTGATATCTACACCTGACGACCAATATGCCGACTCCGATTCCTCGCCCGTCAGGTCTCCCGATCCTGGGAAACGTGCTTTCTATTAGCCCTGGCAATACTTGGGGTTCTTTCAATAAACTAGCGGTCAATAATAAGAATTTCTGTGTGTTTCCCGTGCATTTACCGGTGGGCCAGTTGGCAGCAAATCACGACGAACACTACTAACCTTTTTTCTTCAACAGACCCAATCTTCAAGGTCACTATCCTTGGTAACGACATTGTCTTCATCACCAGCGCAAAACTGCTCGAGGAGATCTGCGACGAGAGACGGTTTCGCAAATGTGTGACCGGCCCCATTGAAGAAATTCGTGAGGCAGTCCACGACAGTCTGTTTACCGCGTACCACGATGAGGAAAGCTGGGGGATTGCCCACCGTATCATGGCCCCTTTGATGACGCCAGAGGCCGTGGTCGAAGCTTTTGCTGGAATGCGTGAAACCGCCACAGATCTGGTTAAAAAATGGACTGCGGGCCCCCGGCAGCGGATCAACGTCAGCGAGGATCTGGACCGTCTGAACCATGCCGCCAACATGCTCTGCTTCTTTGACCAGCGGATCCACTGCCTCGAGGGACCAGAGCCCTCGGTCCTCAAGGCCATGGAGGCTGCCACGTTCGAAGCTCTGCGTCGGCCCACCCGCCCCAGGGTAATGAAATGGCTCGTCTACCAGCGTCGCTTCGACAGCTACATCAAGACGATGCGCGACTACGCCGCCGAGATCGTGGCTAAGCGTCGCGCCTCTTCGACCGAGAAGAAGGACATGCTTCATGCCATTATGCACGGCAAGGACCCGCAGACCGGCAAAGCCCTCACGGACAGCCAGCACCTGGACGAAATCATCAACATCTTCATTGGAAGCGCCACGGCCGCCAATCTCGTCTCCTTCGCGTTGTATTATCTCATGAAGAACCCGCACGAAATCACCCGGGCCCGCGAGGAGATCGATGCCGTGGTCGGCGGCCCGAGCGCCCAGCTCGAGCACGAGCATCTCGCCCGCCTGCCTTACTGCGAAGCCATCCTGCGTGAATCGCTGCGCCTGTCGGCTACTGCGCCGGGCTTCAACATCGAGCCCATTCCAGGTCAGGAGGAGCCCGTCCTCCTCGCAGGCGGCGAGTACCAGGTCCCCAGCAAGCAGCCGCTCATTGCGCTGCTGGCGGCCGTCAACCGCGACCCGGAGGTCTTTGAGGACCCGAATGCGTTCAAGCCCGAGCGCATGCTCGGCGAGAAGTACGACCAGCTTCCGGCCGGTGTGAAGAAGGGTTTTGGCAACGGCAAGCGTGAGTGCTTTGGCAAGCGCTACGCCTGGGAATGGTCGTTTATGATCCTGGTCACGATCATGAAGGACGTGGACTTTCAGTTGGCGGATAAGAGTTACAAGACGGAAGTTGAAGGACTCAATTACAACGGGGCTTTCAGCACCAAGCCGTTGGGGTTGTTTGCGTTGACGGGACCTCGACAGAGCGTGTGATGGCGACAGTAAAACTTGATGCGTTACGATACCATGGTTTCAGCTAGCCGTATGCAGATGCTTGTATATCATTCTTATCTTATACCTAATCTATGCTTTCACCTGAATCCTTGTGTCTATCAGCTCCTTTGCTCCGTCTCACTCTCTTTGACCTCACTCAGAATCACCCGGCATCCCAAAGGCGCTAGAATCCCGCCCTGTCATGCATCAGTACTCTGCCTCTTGTCTTACGTGGATTCAAGAGACTTACCGGCGTCATCTTCAACCGGTACCCCGGGTCCACCGTCCACTCGATCCGTCTCACCACCTCAAACAACAGAATCTTCATCTGCAACAACACAAAGCCCTGTCCGAGGCACTTCCTCGAATGCGCATTGAAGGGTATGTACGTGCCGCGCACCGTCTCCCGACGAAATCGCGCATGCATCTCACCCACCGTGCGGCCCCATCGCTCCGGCTTGAACTCGTTTGCGTCAGGGCCCCAGATCGCCGGGTTGACATGCACCCCGTACGCATTCCAGCCGACAAAGGTGCCCGCCGGAATCGGGATCTCGTTACCGAGCATGGCGGGGCGAAGGGTGACGCGGTTGATGAGCTGTGAGACGGGAGGGTAGAGGCGGAGAAGCTCGTAGACGACGGATGTGAGATAGGGGAGGGCGTTGACGACTTCGGACGTTGGGGTCGTGGTGTTTGTGGAGAGGATTTCGGCGCGCAGGCGGGTTTGGACTTCCTTCAATAAGTATTATCATGTCAGCTGCCGTTGAGCAGGTGAGGGTGAAGGGAAAGGGCTATACTGTATTCTTGCCAATCTCCCAAAACATCGAGTTAACCAGCTGCTGGGCGTTCTCGTGCGCCGTCAGAAACACTATCTTGAGATTATCCTTGAACTGCTTCTCGGTCAGTCTGCCGTCGCGGTAGGCGTCGACAAGCATATGCACGACCATCTCCTCGGCAGGCTTGATGCCCTTCTCGCGGTCACGGTCGATGCGCCCCAGCACCGTCGCCATGAGTGTATCCCCGAACTCGTGCATGATCTCGTACGCCCGCTGCCGCGACTTGATAAGCCACGCAAACTGGTCCAGATCGGGAAAATTAAAGAACAGCGGCCGGAAGAGCATCAGCTTGATCACAGACTGGATGGCCTCGAGGCGCACCGCGCCATGCGGCTTCTCCAGGCTCCGCAGGTCCAGATCCAAAAAGCTCATCCCCATGACATCCACCGCCCACTGCTGGACATACGTGTTGACCAGAATGCCCGCGCCACGACCGGCAGCGCCCTGCTCCGCGAGAATCTCATCCACGAACCGCGCGGACTTGAGCAGCAGCGGCGCGGTGTCAAAGTTCTTCTTCTGCAGCCCTGGCTTCATGATCCCCGTGTACAGCTTCCAGGTGTCGCCGTGCGAGTTGATGATGTTGTCGCCGACCAGCGTCGCGATCACCGACCAGGGGATCTTCTTCTGGCTGCCTGCTTTTGCGTAGAGGTCCTCGTTGCGGAACATGTCTGTTAGCAGGTCCGGGCGGGTGACGAGGATGCTCCATCGGCCGGCGAACCAGATTAGTACGGCGCCGTGGGCTTCGAGGGGTTTGCGCAGCCAGCGCTCGTAGATCTCGTCTTGGCCCATTGAGCTCCAGAGACCGAGGACGGAGACGTAGAAGGGGATTCTGGGGAGGGCGGGCAGGTCCCAGGGGACGTGGAGGTACCAGGCCAGATAGAGGATGAGGGTGAGGGGGATTGAGGCGAGATAGTAGAGCATCATCTTTGCTTTGGATGTCTTTGCTCCTGGGTAGGATGAATGGCTGAGTGGGTAGATGGGTGAGGGTGGTCCTCCCCGTCTCTTGTATGCACGATTTTGGCAAAAGGCATTCCCGCATACAAGTCATGAGCTAAGACTGGATCTGGCTGCTCGTACTCAGTTGATGAGTGTAGTAGCGTATGCATCCCAAGTCAGCAAATCCGAGCTGATGTCATCTGCAACACTGCCTAAATCACTGCGGAGCGAAGCGTAGCATGTCTTATATTCATATATGACCTCGAAGCTGACGAACAGCGAGCAGCAAGCACTAAGGACATATCGCTCCAATACCAAATCCAAGTCTAGCACGATGGCCACCGAATCTCTAAACATGCACAAAGACCGTCTCTCGGCAGAGGACCTCGATCTCAAAGATCCCCACGGTACGTCCAGTCCAGCCTCCATCTAACAAAAAAGGTACTAAATGAAACAGTCTCCTCCAGCCTCGCCCTCTTCGCCATCCACAACCTCATCCGTCGCAATCTCAAGGCCTGCGCAGAACATGCCACCACAGTGCAGCCAGCAAACATCGACGCCTTCGCCACCTACGCAAAGTACACCCTCCACGTCCTCCGCGACCAACTCACCTCCGTCGACGAGATCTGGTTCCCGGTGTTCGCAGAATACGACCCCGGCTTCCTAGCGCAAAAGGACGCACACGATGCCCTGTATCAGAAAATCACCGCGCTGGAGGCGCATCTAGCCACTGCCACCGCCGAGCAGGACCAGCTCCTCTCTACGGAGATAGCAGCTGGTTTCGCAGACCTTCACGAAATCACTGACAAGCAGTATGATCTCGAAGAGGAGCTTGTCAACCAGCTAGGGCGCAAGGTGCCTATCGAGACTATTCGCGCTCTGGAGAAGAAGCAGGAGGAAAGACGGAGAGCTGATGTCAAGGTGTATGGGCATCTGTGGACGGCTGTGTATCTCCTGCGTGGTCTGGAGCCCAAGGAACGGGCGATTTTCCCGCCTGGAATACCAAAGCTGATTGTGGGTGGGATGCTGACGGCTGGGGCGATGCAGTTTCGGAGGTGAGTTTGTTATGTGTGTTTGTTTTGGGAGTGTAGCTGACTGGGTTGACAGGGAGCTGCAGTTCACGCCGAGATTTTGATGGTTGAGTTGATTCCACGGGATGATTGTTGTTACTCGATGTGGTGTGCGTATCAGATTCGTAGATATGTCATTCGATGAATTATTCATGTTCACTGTGTCAGCAGAGTACGAGTTACGAGCATGCTGACTGTAGCTGGTCCAGTGTGTCAGCGCGTATACTAAGCAACCAAGTCAGCCTTAGATTTTGGTGTAACTGCAACAGAGCTGACAATGAGATATTATCAGAATAAAGCGGAGTTGGATGACTGCTCTGACTATACTTGCAGGTAATCCGTGGATAGCCAATATGCCTCCATAGCATATAAGAAAGTTAACTTAGATCAATAGGAATCCGCCAGCAGAGATATCATCATCAGAAATTGTAACAAAGATAGCTCCATCGTACGACGTGAAGCCAACGCCATGTCCACACAGCAAGACCCCAAGTCCAACCGTACAAATGACCTGTACGAGCTGGCTGTCAACATCTCCAGCACGGTAGAAACCTTCATCGGAAGGCTGGATACAATCGGCGCCGAACGACCTAACCTAGACAACCCATTTCCGGAGATTATCCAAGATGAAGGCGCGCAACTGGCCCGGTTAAAGATTCTGCGCCTCTGCGAACGGCTCATGGCACTGGTCCAGGGTCCGGTTCAATGGCTCATGTTCCAGAATATGGCGTTCCTCGATGCCGCGTGCGTCGGGGCGGTTCTGGACATGGGGATCCACGAGGTCATTGCCCCTGGTCCTGAGCCGACGTCTCTCGACCAGATCGTAGAGGCGACGGGTGCTTCGAAGGATATTCTAAGTACGTGATGCCCGCAACCTAGTACGTGGAGGTCGAAGCTGACAGCCCTCAGAGCGAATCATGCGTGTTTGCACGCAGAGATTGACTTTCGATGAGATTGCGCCGGAGCAGTTCGTTCATAATGGAGTGTCCTTGCAGTTCCTTGCGCCTCCGGTGCAAGCGCTCATCAGTCATGCGTGAGTAGCTGTGGTCTATGAGATTAAAAGATTGAGCTGACACCGCTAGCTGTGACGATGGACTGCGCATCGCAGCCCATTTCGCCGAGTCTCTCAAGAAGACTGATTGGAAGGGAAGCGATGATCCTGAAAACTCTGCCTTTAGCCTTGCTTTCAAAAGTAAGTATCCCCCAGCGCCACACGATTCTGCTAATCCCTCGTAGCAAACAAGGGTCTTTTCGACTACTTCTACACCGAGGATCTCGCTCGCGGCCAACGCTTCGCCCTCGGCATGGCAGGCAGCGAGATCATGAAAACTCTCACGGAGGATATGTTCCCTTTCGAGTCTCTTCCGCAGGGCGCAAAAGTGGTGGACGTGGGAGGCGGCCGGGGCCATGTCAGCGTACGCATCGCAGAGAAGGTCCCTGGCTTGGATTTCGTCGTGCAGGACGACACGTCAATGCTAGAGGCTGGTCAGGCAGAAGGTGTCCCCACAGCAGTCAAAGATCGGATCGAGTTCATGCCGCATGATTTCTTCAATGAGCAACCGGTCAAGGGGGCGGATGTGTATCTCTTGCGGTTCATCCTACATGATCACCCGGACAGGTTAGTTGATGCAATTTATAAAAGAAGGGGTGTAGCTAACGGTCATAGTCGCTGTGCGAAAATCTTGTCAAACATCGTGGATGCAATGGAGCCAGGAAAGTCGCGGATTCTCATTGACGATGCGATTGTTCCCAGCTTCTTGGGTCCGGAGAGTTCCCGGTTCTTTAACATTCTGGATCTCTACATGCTTGTTGCTATGAATGGGAAGGAGAGGACTTTGGAGCAGTGGAACCACTTGTTCCAGATGGTCAGTCCCAAGTTGGTGTTGGAGAAGATTTGGAAAACGCCAGACGGTGGGCCTGAATCGGGAACTATCTTAGAACTGCGGCTGCAAGAGTGATTCCTCTAGGAGATATTTATTTGAGGCCAAGATAGACTTATACTTAGTTTTACAATGGATCGTCACAGAAGCTTGGGTTATTTTCCTGCTGACTTTCAAACTGCAACATTGTTGAGACCGTTAGATATAGTAAGAGTTGTGATTGTTGCATTTCGTGCTTCGTCAATTATATACAAATTCACTTGTGTAGCTAAGTCAACCTTGATAAGAGACCGCCAGTCTTACGGAAGCCATTGGATTACAACCCTTTCAGAAGGCTTGACGACAATGAAAACCCATACCAAACGGTTGCAACAAGGGAAATTGCATTCAGATGGATTGACATGGCATGATTGCGGGTAAATGCTTTGTTTGCCTGTTGAAGCTTCGCTGGGTCCGTCGCATTAGGGCTATCTTCATTCATGGCACTTTCTATTTGCATAGTCAGCTACCATTCAGCGAGACATGAATAAGGACTCGAAGTTACCGTGAAGTGCCCTCCTAATGAAAGCAGTCTTTGTGGCCCGTGGACCAAAAACGAGCCAATTCAGGGCCCCGGTGACACCCACCACGATTAAAGGAACAGAGCCCCATATATCTCGCGAGAAAGAGAGTATGCTATAAGGCGGACGAGTAACCGCAGTCAATACAACCAATCCTACTTGACAGCGAAAGTAGGCTGGGAAAATGCGTTTCTGGAGGGCGAGAAACTCTTTCATAGGAAGGGCTTGGTAGCAGACTTTAGTGTTGACAAAGCTCTGACAAGGACGAGGCGTTAACTCGTATTCATGATATGATCGGGAGGGCGTACTGCGCTCTCACCTGAAAGAGTTCTGTCCCCAGAAGAGCTCCATATGAGAGCAGATGATAGGGAAGCAGATTACTGACAGTCTCAAGGATAGCCTGCATGTCTTCTCATGTATCAAGTTTAGACATATGGTAACGAAGTGACTGTTTAGAGACTGGGAAGAGTTGTCGACTGCTTTAGAAGACACTGTCACTCTTTAACGGCTAGCAAAGCAGACGAAGAGAAGTCAAGATTGAGGCTGACGAAAGTCTGGCAGAAATAAGCGATTGGTGCCGCAGGCAAATATGGCTGCCTGAACGCCCCCGTAAGATCCTTTGTCCTGTCTTCTGGTGGTCGCCTCTTGCACCCTTCTCACTTTCTCAGCGTCGAATAATACTACTGCCCTTGAGTCCATCTCATACGCATCGCTAAAAAGCTATTATTACAGGCAGCTACGAGAAGAAAGGTGAGATACGATTCCAACACATGCAGGTCCTTCCTTTCTTCCTTCAGCTTGGCTTGTCAGAGACATTCGTATCCGCTTCTCGTCATCAGCTGGTGACACGAGTGTCCCTCTCACAGATTCGTGTTCCACAGCCAAGTTCGATTGCAGCCCGAGCTGTTCAAGCCACGACCGATTACTTGCATCTATACTGGACAGATCCCCGCCATCTTATCCAGCTTTACTTCGGGAAGCAACGGACTCCGCGGAGGAGAGGTTTCTGCAGAAGCATTTCTTCACCAATATGGCTCATGCTTCAACCTTCTGACGCGTCTCGTGTATTCGACTGACCAATTGGTCAAATCATAAAGAACGAATGCGAGGATTTAGCTGACAGCAAATTGCCTGCTAACTGCGGTAATTGGTTGATCTTGAACACGGGCGAAGTTTGTCAGAAAATGTTGTAGGGCATCCCGTTTGGGCTGTTCAACGCCTCGTACTTTTGATAGTCCTCTCGGTTCTGGCACTGTTGCCTGGCCACGACATGGATTTGCATTTTCAGCTTGACCAATATTTTTTGAGCCGAGCCTTGTGTATACGAGGTAATTTGAGGGCAAACTCAAACGAAGCTGCGCCACCCTCATCGTTACCTTTGAGCCCCATAACCACATCCCAGACACTCTCCAACAGATGATGTCAGATTGAAAGCTTTTACTCCGACCATTCTCTGTGCAACACGGTCAACCTTGGGGAGAGAACTAGGCCTTTGCGATTCAATTATCGTATTTACTGAGTGACCCATCTCTTGCGAGCTGCAGGAGGCTTATTCGACGCTTTATCAGGGGTGCTCTGTATGTCATACCGTCATGTGGACGCTTCTCAAGGATGCATCGCTCAATGAAGACCACGGGATCATTGACGTCTCGGTCCACGCCGAGAAGGGCGCCATCCATCTCGTCGGATTCGCGGCCTCGAACCGGCCATATTGAAATGAGGCAGCAAGATCTTCCCAACAATCCTCAAGAGTACAGACGAGGGACGCTGCTCTGATGTTCATGCGCCACCACCAGGCTAGATTGGAGCATCCGCACTCTTAGACGTCAATACTTGCAGAGTTTGCAATGATTCAACGTCAGACCCTGGATCTATAGTCCCTATGGGGTACGATGCCTTTGCACTAGTCATTACTGTGATATACGACAATGGGACGACGTTGCATTGGCCAGAGAGAAAACACGAACCCACGTGGCCTCGCCGGCCCTTGGCTTTAGCTCTGCAGTGCATTACAGGCTGCCACCCTCAGTAGACCTGGCTGCAGATATTAATATAGTCAATATGACTCGTCCAGTTAAATGGATGAGGTAAGGCCAAAACTCACCTGAACCGCCCCGTCTGCCACTAAGATGACCTACCAAGCCAATGATCGCCCCTAGCACTTTGCATTATTCAAGCCTGGAGTGTCTTACTTCCAGGATGACTGGTGTTGACTTGTCGACCACATGTGCCGGCTCGCATTGGAAACTTAATAGGTGCGTCAGCTAAATAATTGTCAGGCAGATATAAATGAATGCAGTAACGGCAGGGAAGTCCTTGATCCTATGAGGATAAACCTAGAGCGGCTGATCATCGCTGAGTGCTGAGGCTTCCCGCGTAATTCTCCTCATTCTGAGCAGCAGGTCTAGAGGGCTGTGCCTGTTCAACATAGGTCGGCCTGTACAGAACCCTCGTGGCTGATTCCATGTTATCCTGCCTCGAAACTTGTCTCTTCGAAAGATTCCTTCTGAATGCAAGAAAGGGAAGATACAACGTCAAAAGACCATCATCAGCCAGCGATGCATTCACAGACCACAAAAGAAGAGCAGTCCAAAGATGACTCCACAAACGAGAAGCAAGACGCTATTGAACGCAGGAGACTTCAAAATCGGCTATCCCAGAGGAATCACCGTCAGTGGAACCTCTGTTATGTTATTGCCATTCTCCTGATCCATTGACTCACCCGTCAACAGGCCGCAAGATCCGGGACAGGATTGCCAAACTTCAAGAACGTGTTATCGCTAGCGAGCTCAGAGCCGTTGCAACTCTGAATGGTTGGGACCAAGCGAGTCCTTCAGCTGCGTCGATGATGGAATCCAAACCGCAAGGTGACTTTGAAAGCAGCCCGTTGGCTCCTGCTTCGGAAGATCCAGCAATCTCGAATGCCTCCCAACGGAACGTCTCCTCCAGTCTTTGTCGTTCATGCTGCAGTCTACTTAACCAAATGCCCGGTTCGTCCTCTTTACCCTCCCCACCTTCACCTCTGCCGTTCGACATTGGTCTCGCCAACGGGGTTGACTCCGCCAACCCACCACACTCTACTCTCTTGAACCCTTCTCCCTCCTCGTCTCAGCTCAGTCCGTTCAGCTTGAACGCATCTTTAAGTATGACGGGGCTTCACACTCCGAATGAATGCAGTTACCCGCCATATCCTGACCCTCCAGGCTCCCAACAATATCCACATTGCCCACACTACTATGTAGCCACAGGTGAGAGTCACTGTCCCAATACCAACGGACAACTGACTAACCACTGTGTTTTGCTCCAGAGACCTCCCTACCGCATATTATGCAAACACTGGGTAATGCAACCTCGCATCCCAAGGCGATCATCCTGATACCGCATGGATATTCCCCAGCGCCATTCACAGGAGCAAACGCGGCAGACTCCACAGGCCTCAGAAGCTCCTTGAATGGGAATTTGCAGAATCCAGGATGCCACTGCTTGAGACAGGACCGCAGTTCTAGGCCCTCTGACCTAGGAACATCCGGAGAATGGATGAACACGCCGTCTTTGACTTCATTCTGTCCGCTGCATCCTTCGCAGTCACCATCGTTGGACAATTTTCAGTCCATGATGCTATGACCTATATTTCAAACATTGTTTCTTTCCGTGTCTATTTTGATGTTTATGAAAATCTGGCCGGATGAGGTATATAGTATAGACCACACATCGTGTGACAGGGCCCTGAACCCTGATGAGTGTATCGGAGTGCTTCCTACTTTCTGTGTATGAATTTGAAATAAATCTTTTTTTTCCTTTGATGCTTATGCGTGTTCTCACTTCTTCTCTACAGCTTAAGAGCATCTGTATTCTGTCCATGCACAAGGCAGTTCTAGATCTGACACTCGAATTCAATCGTTGTAGTGGCATTATACCACAAAAGAGATTTAGTTTCTCAAATCGAGGATAGATTAAGGAGGAGGTGCCTGTAGAACTTTGCAGAAATTGATTCTAAGTACCTAAGGAATGTGGACCAATCGACCTGACTGCTTAATACAATAAGAACTTGATGAAATGAGAATGGGACGAGAAGAATCAGCCAGATAGTTCTGTGATCTAGAAAGCCATGGGCTGTAGAAAACGGATCCAAAGCTCCAACAGATCAATTGATGCTCAGTCAACGTGGATTCTCCATAGCTCCCGATCACAGTCAGTCTTGTACCCCGTCCGGGTATGCAGCATGGCCGTGTTGTCACTGACCAGGAGATCGCCCTGCTCCCACGAAAACCGCAGACAGACGCGGTAGTCATACGTCAGGTCGTCAACCACAGAGACGAGACCCTGCTCATCATTCTCGATCGTGACAGCGCAAGTCGAGAACTTGGTCTTGGTGGAATCCCACGGCTGGTGCCAGCGCATGCACGGCAGCCCGGTGACCGGGTGCGTCACGACCAGGGGCAGATTCTTCAGCTTGGCGTCCCAGAAGCCGTCGTTGTCCATGGCCCAGGTTACCTTCTGCAGCCGCTCCGCGGTCCACGGCAGAGGCAGGTAGCGGAAGAAGAGGCGGGAGCTGGCGAAGAGCGTGTACCCGCTCCCCTTGGGCGCGGTGGCGGGACAGGTGAAGAACTGGTAGCCTGGTGGCTTTTGGACACGTGTGATCTCGCCCGTGACGGGGTCCGTCACCTCCTCAAATTTGAACATGCCATCGTAGTGCATCGGCATTGCCTCGTTGGAGGTGACGTTGTTGCCGAGCTTATCGGTGCGGCCCGCGTCGCGCACCTTCTGGATGATGCCAAAGCTCCAGGGCAGGATGGTGCCGAGCTCGGATGCTTTCTGGACGTATAGCTCTTCTTCGAGGGTTTCTCGGAAGCCGCGCAGGATGACAGGGGAGAGTCCGGTAGAGAGCTGGCGGACTTTGTGCATGGGCAGGTCGCGGATGGATGGAGGGGGCCGCGAGTCATCGATGTCGCTGGGCCGGATGACGAGTCCGCACGGGTAGAGGTGCTCGAACTTGACCCGCAGGCCGTCCTCGACCCAGTCGAAGAGCTTGGACTTCTCGCGGAAGTAGTATGGCTGGCCGTTCTTGTAGACTAGGTCGTGCGTCTCACGCACATCCTCGGCATGAACGGTGCGGAATGTGCCGTTGGCGCCAACGGCAATGGAGGAATGCCATGGGGTGTACCCGAGGGCGCCTCGGACCTGTGGGACGAGCGAGATGGACAGCTTTTTTGCTCCGTTTGACTCGTGGATGGATAGCCGGACGTAATCGGCACGGTTGGCCTTGATGGCAGCAGCAAACATCTTTCCGCGGACGATCATGCTACGGGCAATCTGGGCGATATGAGCCACTCTGGCCTTTTTGCTGGTATACTGCGTGTCCATTTGCGGGGCGAGGTCCTTGGTCAGGAACTTGATGTACCCGCGATATGTGAGGCAGGTATCATTGTCATTACGGATGGCTGTATCAGCGTCGAAGCTGCGGTCTTCAAATCGGTACATCAACTCTCTTCGGAGACATTGGGCATGCGCCAGGTAATATGACTTGGCTTGTTCGGCGCTGGTCAGGGGGATCCATGGGTGCTCAAGAAGCTCAAACAGTCGGATAAATTTGACATGATGAAGGTCTTTCTCAACGGCCATCCGGCGGAGGGCCTCTCCATATTCCCAGACAGTCTCGTCAGGGACTCCCAGGATATCTGGTATGGTTAGCGTGTTGAAGCCGTAGTGAGTGCAAGAGACTTACCATTGTATACGAGCCCGTCCGAGCTGATGTATACATCCGCACCCGGCTCGTAGACTCTTCCAATGTTGTCGCACAGGCTGTTCAAATGATATAACGCCAGCTCCTCTCCAAGATCTGGCATCACACCCAAGACCTTGTCTCGAGCATTGGGGGACTTGAAAGGGAAGGCCGGGAGGATCATCCGAACCGACTCTCGCTTTTTGACTTGCTCAACCACGGTGGGAATGAACGAGGTCAGTCCCTGCCAGGACTCGCCAGTCTTTTCAAAATTCACTCCATAACTTTCAATGACTTTTAAGACAGTAATTGCTGTTGCTTCGTCTTCGGAGATGCGACTGTTCTCCTCTCCGTTGGCGGTTCCGAGGGCTTCAGCTAGGAGATACGAGGTGTCGTCCTTTGTCTCCTTGCCCTCGTGCTTGAACGTGACTGGGGCTGCCTCCTTTGCTTCAACAAGCGGATTGTCGCGGCTTTCGGGAGTGGAGACGGTTACAGGAGGAATGTCCAACTCAGACTCCGTGTTTCCGTTTGCGGCGGTTTGCTCGTGCCGATCAGCTTCGCTCAACGGCTGCTGCAGAGAAGACTCCTTGCGATGGCGCTCCTCAGCGCAGTCTTCAGCAACTTCAGAGTCGGACGAGGAAGCAGCGACCTCGGTCGTCTCAACGTTCACGGCTTTTATTCCATACGAGCCAAGTAGGCCATTCTCTTGCGGCTCCACAGGATATGAGACGGCATCGTCCTGTGGGTTCTGCAGTACGGCGATCATATCGGACGAGAATTGAAGAATGATAATCTATGTAAAGACTGATGAGGTTCGTTTCTCAGTTGGTATGTTGTGTACTTCCAATGGTGACTTCGGCCTAGCTGAATCCGTCGGTACGCAAGGCTTTATATCTTTCCAGAAGGGTAGAGACGCGGCAAGGCGTAGTGAGAAGCATGCATCTTCGTCAGCTATATCATCAATGACGTCGAAAGAGTGGAGGATTCAGAACCGTTGTGACATCGTTGACTAACAAGCAAGCCTCTCTGAATGTGCATTTCTCTCATACGCTAGAAGCACACCCTCTTCGCTTGAGTTTTGGCAGTCAGCATCGTCCATAGCTGAATAATCCCCGTGCGAGAAGAATCTACGGGAGGCTGACTTGTATCATGCCTTCTGTGCCCAGTGAAGGGAACCTTCATCCGATAGAAGCATTGAAAGAGAACACGAGGTAGCTGACACAGAGCCCCGGGAGATGACAAGGCCTGCAGCTGCTTAGGCAGATATTCTCGGCTCCGAGCGAGGGTTTGACAAATTGTGCAAACGACATAGTTGCCAATGTCTTCGAGTTCAACTCCATGTGCGCGTCGTCTCACGGCACCCAATGCAGAGCCAAGCGCCTTTGAGGAAACTGGTCACAGTCAGGCCAAATTCACATTGAATGCTTCAGCTGATAAAGACGACTCAGTCAGCAGACGGGAACTATGTTGCAGATTGTGGAACTGTTTGTTGGGTTACACGCTCGCCACGTTCTCTACAAGCACAGCATCCAGGGCGAGCCCCTTGGCCAGGGCGTCGGGCTGAGTCGACAAGTAATGGCAGATACGCAAAGATGTTGTCTCTCTGACAACACGATCTCACTGTCGTACTGCAGAGAGGCTGTACCAAGATTCAGGGCCAATCCTAAAGAAATGTGACTCAGGCTGACTCTACAGAACAGGCTGAAAGAAGGTTTTCAGACAAAATTTGAATTGCCACAGACAGTAGAGGAGGGTCGAGAACGCATCGAACTCGTCCCTCGCCAAAAGAACCCTCAGCTAGCTTGTAGCAAGTTAGATCACCGCTTCGGAGACCCTCTACTCAGAAGGCTGCGCTTTCCAGTCATATTCCATCACGCGCGAGATGAATGCCGCCATATCAAGGGAGGTCAACTGACTAACTAGATACAAAGATGCATCCAAGCAGCTACTCACTCCTGCGGCCGTCAGCAGCCTGGCGGACCCGACTTTTAGAACTCCTGCGTCAATGTAGCGCTTGTGCGACACCTCAGGAGGGGGAGCCCCTTCTCCATTTACCCGAATGCAGAACTCCCGAAGTCTCTCAATGGCACGATGGTGAGTTGTGACTGGAACTCCAGTTAAAAGTCCGGCCGCTCCAATCAGAAACGCTCCGGTGCAAACTGAGAAAAGCACACGCGGTTCATCTGGAGTCTTTGGAGGTAGTGTGGCAAAGCTGCGAATAAGGTCTACCTCTGGGGGATTGGACGCGACCAACGAATTGATAACGGATGGTGGCCCACCAGGGACAACCATGATGTCGAAATCCGCAAGGCCCTGCATTGCGTCCTCAAGCAGCAGGTCCGTCTGGACCGTGAGGGCGTTCTTGGCGTTCACTGTTCGTGATCGAGCAATGGTATTGATCTGGAAAACCCTGTCCGGGTTATCCGGGTTTCGGTTGTGGGATGTATGAGTGAAGACTTCGGTAGGGGCCGTAAAATCAAGGATGTCCACTCCTTCGAAGAGTAAAACGGCTACCTTGTAGTACTTCTTTGGCGGGGTAGAAGACATGGTGAAGGTCAATTTCTCGCCTGTTTCAGACTGGGATGCTGATCGTTGAGTGTAGTCAATAATGCGATGACAACCACGAATGCAAGTCAATTCTGCTGAGCCGACTGAGCTTAGAAAGTAAGGTACTGGTCTGATATTTGATCGAGCGAAGGAGTACGAGTGCGAAGGAATTCATCGGCCAGCTGTAAGCTGACACTGCTGACTACCTCTGCACGCCCAGTCCAATGAGTCGGTCAATCCCGAGGAACGAGGCGCACGCAGAATAATCATCACAAGTGATGATTAGGCAGAATAACGATAGTCTCCGAGCATAAGGAGTAAGAAAAGCAATCATTGACCTTGAGTGGTCAGTCTGTAGGACCTCCAATTCCTTCAAGCCAGTCCATGCACATACCCTCCACATGTGCAGGAACACTTTTCTGTAAATTAGCTTAGAAGCATTTAATGAACTCAGGAGTACAATACGCTAAAAATCAGATGCTCGAGTGCAGTCTGTTTGAATCTGGGTGTAGTCTCTCTCCAGCATTGTCTCTTCGCACTGAGTCAAGTTCTGCAGAAATAAGAGTGAAGAGGCTTATCAAGAAGACGTGCTATCTTGCAAGATTGATACCGGCTATAATTGTCGGCTGGGGACTAGAAATCAGTTGCATGAACGATGGAGTTGAAATGGAAGAAGGAGACGAAAAGTGGGCGATGGGGATGTGCACAAAAAGGAGGTACACCAGCAACTACCTTACAATCAAATAAACACCCGATGTCCTTCTCCACGGTTGTTGATTGTCCGAGTGAGGTCAAGATGGCCAATATGGGGCACATTCGAGCTATTTCAGAAGCTTGAAAGTGTTCAGTAGCTACCATGGTGATCCCTTCTCTTGCCCTTAAGGATATCGTCTCCATACAACACCAACACAGAGAGACTTCACCATGACTTCGCCAGGTTATAGCCACACTTCTCCACCAACAATCTCCCCTTTGGAGTGGCATCATTCCAGCATTCTCAACCCCAATGTGCTACACGCTTCAACAACACCGTCATCTTCCTAGAGATTCCTGCCACCGCAGCACGGTCGAACCGCCGAGGACGCAGAGAGCATATATTCAGACTGGTGATTCTGAACAACTGGAGCGGTGAGTCGACTCTGCTTCTAAAATACCAAGAAAGGGCGATAGCTAATCGTCTGCCTCCAGTTAAACAACCCGTGACACCCAAGGTCGGAAATGGTCCCTCTCGGCCCGCTCAATGGCAGAGCCTCCGGAACCACCATCTCCCCCTGATCGTAACTCTGGAAGTGCTTGCTGAACCCCGCATCTCCCTACTGAGGCACCTCCAGGGCATTGTTGACTTCAACTACGCCATCAGTATGAAAGTCGAGCTGGAGCATGGCGCGTCCACGACGCTGCTGAGCGGGTCTCGCACCCAGTATCTGTTCTGGAGTGGTCGACAGATGGGTGCGCATCTCGCCAGCACGGGTGTGACTCACGGGCTAGAGATATGCACGGAGACGGCAAGTGGATCCACGGAGGGGAGCTATGGATGTTTGCTTGAAATCACGCAGGGCGAGAGGGTGCCTTTGGCGTTGTTGTATGGGTCGCCAAGGCACTTCTGGCAGGATGGGGATGCGTCCTCCGGTGTCGGATTTGGGAGTGCGTTGGTGACCTGAAGCCAGCAGGAGCGGTTCAGTAGATGTACATCAGCCATGAAAGAAACATTTCAGATCATTCGGGTTGTCATATGATGAAGCTGGCGTATATTATAGATCCATATTGACTGATGATGAAATATGACTTCAAAAGCAAATTCAAAATGCTCAAACGCGGTGAGTCCTCACGTAGTATGGTCCCTAACATGAATGCCATCCAACTGTCTAATGACCAAACGCCTAACAAAGAGACCGTAATCAGATGCATAAGTCTGAAAACTGATACCCCGAAACCTGTGCACACCCATAAACCCCTACCAATGCAAAAGAAAAGACACAGTATCGTAGGAGAGCTATCATGCTTCCAACATGTTGTCCAGCCCATCGGAATCAGCTCCAAAGCGGAGGATGAATGTACTCGGCAGCACGGTCAAGGATAGTAGGTATGGTCCACTCCCCACTCGTGGAACTCTCAGGCGTGGGCGGCGGTAGCGACCCAATGCTAGGTGTCATAGCACCGACGGTTACAGGAGGAACAAGATTAGCGGCGGTTGCTGAACCCGCTGAGGCGCTCCGGTATGCGGAGCTGCCATTGTGACCGGCAGCGCGGTTGCTTAGGGATGAGAACGCAGCTTCTAGCTTTTCCAAAGCACGGTAGGTCTTGGTTAATGGCTTAGCCCACTGGGTCTGCGCCTCAAGCGGTATGGGAGCAGACTCTGGAGAGGTCGGGTCAAGAGCAGCAGAACTAGTTCCCGTCATATTCGCAGCTCCGGGAACCGTACTGTAAGCCGTGCCGCCGGCTGTGGCAGGACCTGGTCCGAGGGTGCCTTCTTCATTAGCGCGTTCGCCGATGATGTTTTTGAGCTGGTGCAACAGGGTCCAAAACTGAGGGTCCGTCTTCGACTCCTCTGTGACAGCTAGAAGGAACATGGAACTAATCGCTCGCTGCAAAGTGATCCAGGAGCGCGACGCATGAGAACTGATTGTATGCATCTCAATGTATGCCTCGACAGTCGTCATCAAATTCCTCACACAGTCAGCGCGCATGCTGACCGTAGTTGGATCGTTCGAGTCAGGTGGGGACTTGAGTGCTGGACGCAGCAGCTCGGAAGAAAAGTAGGAAGAATGCAGCTTCAGTACAACCCTTTCCAAATGTTCTGTGGATGAAAGGCAGTACTTGCGGTCGCGCAAATGCGGTTTGGCCTCAATCATAATTTGCTGAATTCTTTCTTTATAAGTCTGTATGGTTTTGAAGCTCATTTGCGAGTGAGAGCTAAGCATCCGCGAGCGTACGACCTCGAGGGCCAAAGAGATTATTCGGCAGAGAGTTTCAAAGTACGAGAGCTCTCCAGGCTTCGAGTCTTCGCGGTACGCGATATCTGGCTGACTAACAGCAGTGGTTGACGGTCGATCGTAAGAGAGAGAGAAATGACTGTCCTGCCATGCCATAGACCACCTAAACAGCATTAGCATGATGTTAAAAACCCTTGAATAAGGCTGAGAGGCTATACCAAACATGTCGTCTACGGTACCGCTCCTCTAGTGAGAAGCGACTCGATTCTACATGGAGACCAAGCGCTAGTCCCATACGAAGTGTCATGCCTGACGCCAGTCAGCCAACGAGTCCACGGAAAAGCTCCGTTATCCACTCACCAAGTAAGACATAAGAGATACCAGGGTTCATATTGTACGACAACACGTTACCAATCACCAACAGAGTCTGAATGGCTTCTATAGTAGGCTGCGATAGGAAATTGGTCATCCGGAGACATTGGTAGGAGCAGCACACTAGATGCAGTGAGTAGTGAGTTGGAGTGATCGTGCAAATGTAAATTGGCAACATACCATAGACTTGAGAAGTCAGTTCTCTCTCTTTTCCAGGCAAGTCGGATGATTGACAGCCGGAAGCCAGCACGGCGAAGAGCAGACCCAGGTAGGCTATAGTCACACCAAAAGGTCGCTGCGCTTGATCTGTGTCCGTTCGGAATACGCCACCCATAGATGCTCTACTCCGTAATAAAAGATCGAGATTCATTTCGAACTGCTGGATATCTTCGATGACAGGGTAAATGGCTCCTGCGACGTCCCGATAGTAGAAGAAAAATCTGTCAGACTGTTAGCATTCAACGATGCCCGGTAACAATCCAAGTCAAAGGCAGAGAACTAACTCCTTGCACTGCTGATCACTTGGAAGCGCACTACAGACTGCGCTAATGTCAAATGTCGACAGATCGGAAGACCACAGATCAACGAACGGATATGTGGCGGACTCATTGTCGAGACCCAACTTCGGCAGGATCCCACCCTCAAGGAGAGCTTGGAGCTGATCAGACCCGGACTTGTTATTGAGAATGTACGCAAGGACGGATCGAGACCCCAAGTGCACAGTGCCTTCGCCCAACGTGTTCGCTGCATGAATGCCCTCCCGTTCCGGAGAAGCAGCCTTGGACCGATTACTCCCATCAGCACTCTGCGCACTGCCCGTCTCCAGGATTCCACCGGGGCCCTCCTCGGCCCGTTCCAATCCAACTCGCAAGTTCGAAATAGTCTTCTCCATCTCCTTCAGTCTATTGCGAACATTGTCCCACTCCTCCCGCGCAATGGATATACGGTTCCCGGATCCCAAGGAGTTAATCCGACTTGTCCCGGCCTCTTGCTTGATCCGCAGATGAGGTTCCTCATGGGCGGCTGACACCGTAGGCTCTGCCACACCGGGCTGAGAGACTCCAGCGGGGCTGTTGTTGTATGACGGAGGGATTGAACTCGCTATAATCCTTTTTTTGGACGGCCGCTCGTACGAGCAGATATCGGGATGGTCACGCTTGACACAGCCGTCGCACGGAAGATTGCGATCGCATTTGACTTTGCGTGCATGGCAGGGATAACAGGCTTTGGGTTCACGCGCCTTTCGTTTTGTTCGAATAATCGCGTCGACTTGGGATTGCGGGAGGTCGGATACAGATCGGGAGGTAGCGGTGGCCATGTCGGAGCCGGCTGCAGGCGGTGAGAACGACATTGAGCCTTGATAGGGGGACGCCATTGGAAATATCAAGATCGACACTCTATCGAGAAATTCCCGAGTGCTGTGTGCGTTTCTGTGACTATAATGAGAGATCTGGCTGAGCCAACCGCGGAGATCATGGAGCAAAGCGGAGGAGCGGATGCGGCGCGAGATGTATCAATCGACGGCAGCGTCAAGAAGTCGGGTCAAGAGAAATACATTCCGTAACAAATCTAGAATTAAGTGTTCAGAGCCACAGTTCACAGCATTCTGCACGGTAGCAGCGCATCTGAAGAAAGCTGTGGCGCGGGCGGCCTAAGCTGCCGAGTTGGAGTATCCGATGTTACTAAGCAGTAATCTGCACGGCACGTGATTGGAGCGGGGAAAACCAACCCTAATTCCAAAAGAGGAAAGATATGACGTCTTGACCACGACCATGAAATAATGATGGCGATGTACCCAGACCTTCATCGATAAAATCACATATTGGAGGGAAAGCAGTTGAAAAAGGTAGTTGAATGAAATAATATCTATTAGTCTAAATCCTATTGTAATTGGTTATATGATATCTATCAATGCATCCGAAATCAATCCCAGCCGACTCCGCTTTTTTTATATGCCATTCAGATGACCTGAATCGTAACCAAGATAAAACCCCAGCAAAAAAAATGCACAATAAACCCAATGAAAATTAGTAAAGAAGGTGTCGGGTATGCAATAGCATTTTTCGAAAGTTCGAACCCGTTAAGCAGAAAGACATGCATCGAACCTCTCTAGTGCTTCTCTCCCGGTCCCTGCTGCTCCTCATCGTCGGAGAAGGCAAACTTTGAGTACCGACGGATGGAAGCGCCTTTGAAGTAGAAGACGTAGGGGATTGCGCAGCAAGCGAGTGCAATAAAGGCTAGCAATGAACTGGCCCATCGGTCGTTCAAGCGGTCATACATCTGCTCAGTGAACAATACTGTGGAAGCACCCCACATGGAACGGAGGAAAGTCTTTGCGGCAAGGGCAGAGGCTGCCTGATGCTGGTATGTATCCACTGTAGTAGCAGTTAGTACTATACCATCATTGAGGGAATTGGAGAGAACATACCGAGGTAATTGTTGGCGGAGTTGTACAAGAAGATAAAGCCAAATCCAACGGGGAGGCCACCAATGGCAGGGCCAATCCAGTGGATGTTTGGGTATGATGTCCAGGCGAAGATAAAGAGACCGATGGGGATAAGCCAGCATGAAAGCATCATAGGGATCAGACGCGCTTCAGCTGGAGGCTTTCCACCGTGCTTCTTAACAAGTGTAAGATAGTGCTTGTTGACAAAAGGAGCACAGGCAGCGCTACCCAAGACACCAATGGCCAAAGGAATGAACATCAGACCAGTAGGACCTGAGCCCCATCCCTTTCCTTTTTGGTAGACAATTGGATAGCTAGGAATGAGCTGTCAGTCCAGTCCTCGAAAAATCTCAGAAGGCAGCAACTTACGCGACGAAGAACATGTATAGCAAGCCATATAGGACCGACATATAAATGGAGATGAACAGAACAATGGGTTCCAGAAACAGGAGCTGGAATGGGCGGAGGAGGAAGATACGTAATCTTTCTCCCATGGGGCGAGCGTCCAGTTCTGTCTCCGTGACGTACGTCGGATCGTTTTCAGTCTTCCTTAATTTCTTTGCTCTCTTCTGTAAAATCATTGGGGCATAGGTCTCCGGGACAGTGAAGGTAATCAGGACCCAGGCGACAAAGGCCAGAATCAGCTGGATCCAGTAAAGCCACCTCCAACCAACATGGCAGAGATAACCACCGACAAGAGGACCGATGGCGGGACCGATGAAAGGGCTGGCGGAGAAGGCAGCCATGGGGACACCACGTTCCTCATTCCTCCACAGATCAGCCAGAGTACCGCCGACCAACGTCATCGGAGCACTGAAAGCGATGCCATCGATAGCTCTGCAGACGATAAGCGTACCGATGTTCTTGGAAACCGCACAAGGTATGACGAAGATAACCGCAAGCAGGAGCG